GCCTGCGGCTCAACTTCCTTTGCTTGGATCTTAAGCTCTAAAGGGTCTAGGACCCCAGGGTTTGGGGCGACAGGCTAGCCTCTTGGAAGAGACCCAGGTTCAAGGGATAGAGGGAGGGACAACAGAGTAGAGCCATGGGGGCTTCGGCTTCGCGATGAGGGACCGAGGGAGGCACGGGGGACTGGGGGAGGGGGCAGAGGGCTGGGACAGAGAGCCAGATTGAGAGACAGAGAACTGCAGATCGGATACTGGAGACAAGGGGACAGTAGTGGTGGACAGAAGACGAGAGGAGGGGTAGGGACGGGGGTGGAGACAGATGGAGTTGCAAGCATTGGGGGGCAGAAAGGCACCAGGAAGGGGGGATTGGGTTCAGAGGACTGAAGAGAAAGGGGCGTAGTGATGGCATTGAGGGATGGGGCCAAGAACTGGACAGCAGGTCACAGGACAGGGGCGGGGGGTTGCGGCAGGGTTCAGGGGCGGGGGTTGGGGCCCGGGGGTTGGGGGCTTGGGGGGGAGGGGCTGGCAGCAGCGGCAGTGGCATGGGACCAGAGGCAGCTGTGAGTGGGCAGGCGACCAGCGCCTGCAGGAGCCATGTGGAGATGTGAGGGGCAGGTGCTTGAAGAGCAGGCCCTGTTCAGGGCAGGACTGGGGCAGTCCAGTTCCTCAGGGGTGGGGGTGGGGGGTGTAAGGCAGGGCAGGGCAGGCACTTGGGACCAGAGATCTGGAAGATGGGAGCAGAGCTGTCAGGGGGCATGCATCAGGCTCCCCTAACACCCCGGCTCTCACACTTACACCCCCACACTCATCCAGACATACCTTAGATACCCCAATGCCAACACAAGTGGCTGCCCTGGGTTGGCTCCAGAGCTGGGCTTTCACCCTGATGAAGGAGGGAGCGCTCTAGATGCCAGGGAACTCGGAGCCAGCATCCCTCTCCTGTGCTCCAGCCGAAGCACACACATGCAGACCTGGAGTTTACACAGCTCCCAGAGAGAGCCATGGACACACTCAGTGGGCTACCACCTGGACCCAGCCCTGTAGAGATGCACACGTGTGAACAGCTATACATGTAGCTGTCACCCCCTCCCCGCCCACCCTACTCCTACATAGAAGATAGTCATATGCACAGAAATGCTGTCAGTGCACATGTGCATGCCCACATGCCATATACATGCACAGAGATCCATGCCAGAAATAAATGCATGCATGTACAGGACACCTCAGCCCACATGCAGTGCCATGCAAATGCAGCTGCAGGAGACATGGAAGCACATAGCACTGAACAGGGGCTGGGACCGGGGGGTTCAGGTAGGGTGGCCAGGTGGGTGGTGATGAGGTGCAGGCTCCTGGACTGACTGTTGAGGAGGGAGACCAAGGGAGGTCCCCTCATGCACTGCTCCCCGAGGAGGGAGTGGATGGGTGAGGAGGGAAGGGGACAACTTTGGGGCACCAGAAGTCTGTGATGGGGAAGGGGGGTATCTTTAACTCCCCATCCACCAAGGTTTCTGAGGAGGCCATATTGGGCCTGGGAGCCAGGAGGTACAGCCCAGCCGCTGCCTCTACTGTTCTCAGAGACCAGCCAGTATTTCCACACTCCAGGCTGGCAACCCCCGTCAGCCCGTGAGAGAGGGCTTGTTGGGGATGGGGGTGGCAACAGTTGGAGAGCATGCATGGTTCCGGAAGAGAGATAAGTGGGGAAGTCTTTGTCCCAGGCAGAGCGGGGCTATTTTCCCAGGACCAGGGACCATGCCCTGCCTCCCGCCGCCCCCCACATCAGGGGGCCAGGGGATGGAGACCTGGCACATGGATTCTACATGGGGCAGCCAGGAGCCGTCTCTGGATGACTGTTGGAGGCCAGAGAAGGCCTCCCTGCTCCCTGCTGGGGTCCTGCAGAGGCCACAGTGCTCCAGCTTGTTCAAGTGCCCCTGTGCTTGTCCCTCACGTGGCCCTGCAGAGCACTCTCGAGCCAGGGGAGGGCCCTGCCCTTTCGCAGACACCCCTGAAGCCTCGCCAGGCCGGAGCCCCCTTGTTCTCCGGTGTGGATTATCCTAGCACTTTGGGGTGAACTCCGAGGCATCCAGATCCCAGCTGACATCCCCCGGCCACCCCAAATTCTCCAGCCTCGCCATCATGTGCTGCGTCCTCAGGGAATGTAAATCAATTTAAGTATTAGTCTCAGTGAAATAGAATGGGGGAAGGTGACGGTGCTGGGGGGAAAAGACTCGCATAATGCCTTCCACAGTCGAACAGGGACGGCTTAGGAATTATCTGTGCTGCTCAGAGCAAGAGAGAGGCTGTCTGATTCCCCCAGGACAGCCCAGGAGGGAGGCCCAGGGGATGCCGGCAGACAGCTTGCCTATGAGGAAACTGAGGCACAGTTGATGTGTGGGCACCTCCATTGAGAGGTCATGGAGGCCAAACTCCCATCTTGCAAGTGGGAAGGCTGGCCCCGAGAGGGGAATTGACTTCACAGAGTCTCACAGTCCTGGTGGCCTGAAGGGTCAGACTCTTCCAGGGGACTGAGACCTGATGCTGGAATCCCTTTCAGCCCTCAGCAAAGACCTCTGGGCTTGGGATTTCCAGGGGGGACACACTGAGCGCCCTGCTGAGGAGTGGGGTGGGAAATGGGAGAGAGAGAGATGGGGACAGAGGGAGGGGGTGGGCAGAGAAGGGTCTGGAAGGAATTGGAACAAATAGCCCTTCCGGAATCCAATAGAATCGACTTTTGACTTATCTTTGGATTATCTGAGCCCCCTGGCTGGCTGATCAGCACCACAACGTGGCCGGGCTTCCCAGGGGGAGGAGCAGGGTCTGGGAAGAGGGGTCTGCTGGAGGTTGGCTCTGGAGCTCGGAGCTCGGGGTTCCCAGGGGAGAATTCCGGGTGGTGGGCTGTCAGCAGAGCAGCCCTGCAGCAGGGGTGGTCTGAGCAGCGTCTGAGATGGCACCCTCTGGCTCAAGGTAGGGTGGGTGGGGTGGGAGAGCCCATCGTTCCCCTATCCTCATCCACTCCCCAAACTCGGTCCTGCAGGTCTGGGGGAGACTGCAGTGCGGCCCCCTCCCCCTCCCCCAACCAGCAGGAGGAGCGAGCTGCCTGACCCAGTTTTCCCCACATCGCCTGAGAGGGAGGGAGGAGGCAAGAAGGCTGCTCCTCTCTGCCTGCACCCCTGGTGTGGGGCCGCACAGGGAGGGGGGCATCCTTCTATGGACCTTGTTCCCTCCCCTCAGCCCACCTGGTCCCTGGAGCCCCCAGGAGGAGTGGAGAGCCCCTCCTTGGTTCTGCCAGCCCCTCTCCAGCAGCCTCCAGGGTCCCTGACAGTGGGGGCAGGGGGATGTAGTGAGAGGATGAAGAAAAGCAGCAAATAAGAGCATCCTCACTCCAACCTTTCCTGAGGACACTTGTCTCATCTCTGAGGGGCAGGCAAAGAGCTATGCAAATCTTAGGGCGAGGGGAAGTTCCAGGAGGCCCCGGCTTTAACCCTCTGTGACCTGGGGGAGCTGGAAGGCCATGGCTGGGAAGAGAGGAAAAGAGAGGCAGGGGCATCTGGAGCCAAAGGTCCTTTTATTGACGCAAAGGAAGCGGAGGCCTAGAGAGGTAAAGGGACTCTCCCATGGTCACACTGCAGTTCAGCACGGCCAGCGCTGAGCCCTGACTTCCCCTCAGTCCAGTGTCCTGGTGCATTGCAGAGGTAAGCCAGGACAGGTGGGAGGCTGCAGGGATGAGACCAGCCCTGGGCGGGGCAATGTGCTCCCTTGCCACCAGGTCAGCTCCGACTCGGGGGTCGGGGGTGCCAGAGTAAAACTGTTCCTTGGAACTTCCGATGGCTGAGTTTGGAAAAGTAGATCACCAGGCCTTTCTTCTGAGCCACCTCTGGGTTGACTTGAACTTCCAACCTTTCAGTCCTCACCAGAGCCTGTTAACTCTTTGCGCCCCTCCCCCCCTAGGGACTCTAACCCCCACCCAGCACTTAGCCCTGTTTACAGATGAGAACATGAAGGCCTGAGGAGGTAAAATCACCTACCCACAGTCACCTGCTAAGACGTAGTGAGGGTAGCAGAGGTGCCCAGGGGTGTCTCTCCCATTCCCCCCGCCCCAGCCCCAGTGGCCTCTCTGTGTTGTGTTGAGATTCCCTGTGGAGGGCCTGACATAAGAACTGAAGGAGTGCTTCCTAAAACAGATTTGCCTTTCAGATCAGGCCTCCTGCCCTTCCTCCACACACACCCCACTGTGGTGGCTGTTTTGGGGGCTCAGACCTCTTGGATGCTGGTCCTGTCTGTGGTTGCAGGTGCCCTGAATGCCAGCAGTACCTGGGGGACTTCAGACCCCGCCCTTCCTTTCACCAGTCACCTCTAGGCCCCGGCAGCAGCCGCCTCTCAGGGTTGCCAGAGGGTTGCAGATGGGGTGGCTCAGGACCCCTCTGCAGCACTCAGCAGGGAGGAGGTGCTCCCTGAAGGCAGCGTGCACTCCTCCAGGCGGCCACCCTTCATGTGCTGAAGGCTTATTAGATCCTGAAGCCAGGAGTGAGGCTGGGGGCTCGAGGAGACCTGACTTCCCAGTGCAGACACAATCGCCAGCCAGCTCATCACATTAAGGGAGATGAGGGTCAGGCTGTCCTTACAACAACCTGGACAACCTTGTCGTCCAGAGGAGGGCGCTGAAGCCCCGGGAGATAGAGGGTCTTGCCCTGCTGGAATCAGGAGCCTGTCCCTGAAGCACAGCTCTGCACCACCAGCTGCTTGTAGCGGGCTGTTTGGGAAGCTGACCAGATGTTGGTGGAGGAGGGAGTCATGGAGGAGAAAAGCTTGAGCTGGACCCTGAAGGAGGGCAGGCGGGTGCTGGGCACCCCGGCAGAGGACCCCTGCCTTGGGGACCCCAAGAGAGTCAGTGTGTCCAATGGTCAGAGCAGGAGAGGGGCCTGACTCTTTTTCCTTTCCTCTCTTGCAGTGAACTTGCTGGACACGTCCACCATCTACGGGGACTGGGGCTGGCTCACGTATCCGGCTCACGGGGTGAGTGATGGGTCCTGGGTAGCGTCTTCCCTCGGGGGAAGAGCCTTGTACCCTAGGTCCCGGGGCTGCAGAGCTGGGGGGGCTCCAGATTCAGGGATCCTTGTTTCTGGACCCTGACTGAGTCCAGGCTCTCTGGGATATGGCAGGAAGGGTCCCAGACTGGCCTTGCCCACCCCCGCACTGCACTCCCACCATAAGACTGAGTTCTCCTTCATGCTTGCCCCTCCCTCCCCAGGAGCTGCCTGGACCCCTGGAGCTTCCATTTGTCCTTCCTGCCAGCCTCATGTCACTGTGCTCGGATACTGACAGGAGATGCCCCTGGGTGTCCAGCAGTAACAAGGCTGCCCGGCCTGCTCCTCCCTTCTTTCATGCAGACCCCAGGATGCCAGGCACTAAAGCCCACGCATGAGCCATGGAGCTTTCCCAGACTCTGCTGTCAAAGACCCAGTGGTTCTGGGTCTCCATGTGCCCTCCCATCTGAGTTGCGATGGCCTTGCTGGGCTGCTTTGAGGGCAGGGTGAGAGGAAACCCGGTGATGGCACAGTGCCTGGTCCGGGCGTCTTCCAGGAACGTAAGCTCCTAAGCTCCTTTTCTGTCGTCAGTGACGAAGGCCCTTAGGTGGGCAGGTGGGTTGGACCCGAGGTCCAGCAGAAGAGAGGCCTGGCCACCTGTTTCTGCTAAGACGACAGCCGAGAAAATGCCGTGACAGTTCTCCTCTGTGGCACCCGGTCCCCACCCGTTGGGATGGGCTAGACGGCAGCTGACAGCATCGAGTCCACTGCGCTGATGCTCTCGTGTGAATTCCCTCCCGCATGTGTGTTTGTCAGCACACACTTGCTCACACACACGCTTCCACACACACTCACACTCCCACTCAGTCACTCACACACTCTGGACATGAATACATCGTGTATACATAAGTTCTCTCGTGAGACTTTCAACCCCCATGGCACTAACAGCAGAAAATGACAATTCATGATGAAGGTCACTGTCACCGCGAAGGAGCCTTTCTTCCTGGGGGTGGGCGTTCCTCTGGGCGGCGGCTGGAGGCTCGGTCCTCCCAAGGGCTGCTCAGGGTTGCCTCCAGTAGGTGGCACGGTGGACAGGGCAAGGGTGCTGGCTCTAGATGCTTCTTGGAACCATGGTGACCTGGGAAATTCAGCTACCTGGCCTTGACCTATGCTCTGGGGGTGACAGCAGATGCTCCATGTGGGTGTCACCAAGGGGTGTCATTTCCTGGTGAGGACTGGCAGCCCTGGGAGCTGGAGCAACTCTGCTTCGAGGACAGGTGGTCTGGCGGAGATCCCACACATGCTTGTAGGTAACACACACACACACACACACACACACACACACACACACACACACACACACGCCGTGCTTTGCCTCCTCGGGTGAATGGATGGCCACCAGTGCTGTCTGGCAGGAGCCCTCGGGGTGCAGTGGCTAAATGAGGGGCTGCTCACCACAAGGTCAGCGTTCAAGCCCACCAGCTGCTCTGAGGGAGCAAGTCGGGAGCTGTCTGCTCCCATCAAGATGACACCCGTGGAAACCCGCTGGGCTGTTCTGCCTGATGCTGCAGGCTCCTCGGTTGGAATCAACTCCATGGCCGTGTGTTAGGTTAGCACAGCCCTGGGTGGTACACAGTTAATGGCTTGGCTGCTGACCCAAAGGTTGGAGGTTCCAGTCTTCCCAGGGATGCCTCAGAGGAGAGGCCTTAAGATCTGAATTGATCAGCCATCAAAAACCCTATGGGGCACAGTTCTACTCTGACCCACCTTTAGGGTCCACCTGATGAGGTGAGGGGACAGGTTCGTTTCAGTGTCTGCCTGGAAAGGGAGGCATTTGCCACCCCATTTCACAGACGTGAGGCCTGGGGTGCTGAAGGGGGGCATGATGCCCCAGGGCCTGCACAGCTGGCCAGCTACATCCTGCTCAACAATGAGGGGAGAGCGGCAATGAAGGGGGCTCTGTGGTGGTGAGGGGAGGTGCTGGGTTTGTTTCCTGGGGTGGCAGTGGCACCAGCCCTGGTGGGGCATTCCCCTACGCCCCCC